GACCTCCAAATCTCAAATCTTATTTTCAAATCCCTAGGCCCAATTTCTCGAATTATACCTCAAAGACACGTAATCTAGTCGGAATACTCAATGGTAATTCAATATTATTTACTAACAATGATCACAAGTGACTTACCTCAAGTTCTCCCGTAAAATCCCTCTGAAAAATCGCCCCAAACTGTGTGTTTGAACTCCAAAATGACAAAAATATTGGACCCTTTCTGTTTTTGTAGCCTGTCCAGTGTTCCCGCTTCTGCGGATCATTTAACCGCATTTGCGAGTCTGCTTTTGCTGAGAATTTGCTGCTTCTACGGTTAGCCAAGGCTCCACTGCCTCCCGCTTCTACGATTATGCTTTCGCTTTTGCAAACTCGCTTCTACGAGAAACAGTCTGCTTCTATGGTTACCAGCGCACCTGCGATTCCTTGTCCGCGTCTGCGATCATGCAGGTGAGGAATATTTCCTCGCACCTGCGACCACTGTCCACTCTCCCTTTTTCACTTCTGCACTCCTAGGCTCGCACCTGCGAGCCAAGTTCCGCAGGTGCGATTGCATCAGATGGCAGAAAGCTTTCGGCTTAGTTCTAAGTCCGGTTTCGATCCGTTAGCCATCCGAAACTCACCCGAGGCCCCCAGGGCCTCAACCAAATAAATCAACAAGTCCTAAGATGTCATACGAACTTAGTCGAAACCTCACATCACATCAAACAACGCTAAAACCACGAATCATACCCCAATTCAAGCTTAATAAAACTAAGAATTTTCAACTTCTACATTCGATGCCGAAACCTATCAAATCAAGTCCGATTGACCTCAAATTTTACACACAAGTCATAAACGACATAACGGACCTATTCAAATTTCTATAATCAGATTTCGACTCCGATATCAAAAAGTCAACTCCATGGTCAAATTTCCAAGCTTAAATTTATATTTTAGCCATTTCAACCCTAATTTAACTACGGACTTTCAAATAATTTTTCGGACACGCTCCTAAGTCAAAATTACCATACGGAGCTATTGAATTCATTAAAACTCTATTCCGGGGTCGTTTACACATAAGTCAACATCCGGTCAATCTTTTCAACTTAAGTTTTCATCTTGGAGACTAAGTGTCTCAATTCATTTCAAAACCTCACCGGACCCGAACCAATTACCCCGGCAAGTCATACAATAACTGTAAAGCATAAATTGAGCAGTAAATGGGGGAATGAGACTGTAATACTCAAAATGACCGGCCGGGACGTTACACATATATTCCATATAATGAATGGAAATAGGTTTTGCCATGAGATATGTTTGTTGGATATGCTTGGGTTCAGCTCGCGAAGGTATAGAAGCCAGTTATCCTTATTTGGGTGGTGGTTATTAATGTCTATGCCTAGTTGTTCCCATAGTTTTTGTGCGAGGGAACACTTAAGAAAAATATGAACAATATCTTCCATCTCATTACGGCAAATTGTGCATAGTTCATAAGATTAATACCTATGCAAGCTAGGTAGCTTTTACATGGTAGTCTGTTGTGGTAGCAAATCTAGATAGAATATTTAATTTTATTAGGGCAATGTAGTTTCCATATCCAATTAAAGTTCATTGTAGTGGAAGGTTCCTTGTTGACCAGATCATAGCAAAATTTAGTAGAGAAGAATCTCGTATTATTAATGTCTCATATAAGAGTATCCTTAGTAGTGTGTGCGAAAAAAAAAGATAGAAGTAATTTTTGGCGTATTTCAGCTGGAATGTTGAAAGAGATTTTCCTCAAGTTCCACTTATTGTTGGATCTAATATTTCTAATTATGAGTGTAGACTCTTCCTTGTTTAGGGGGCCTGTCACATGTTATTAGAATTAGGGATCCACTTATTCTCCCAAATATTTAGTGAGAATTTTGGTGTATAAACCATGCTATACCATGTTGGCATATTGACCACCCTTTAATAATGTTTTTCTAGATGAAAGAGGTGTTATATTTCGAATGAATTGCGTATTTATTGACTATTATATTTGCCCAAAGATTCAGCGGGTTGTTGGTTAATCTTCATGCTAAGATGGCTAGTAGAGCTTCATTTTTGGATCTAGATTTCTTTATACCCAGCCTACCTTGATCCTTTTTCTTTGTGACAACATCCCAATTAATAAGATGTAATTATTTTTTTAAGTCTCATTAGTACCCCATAAGAACTTTCTTTGAATTTGATGGTTTTCAGGGTTTTGAAGGGTAGTAGTGTATATTGCATATAGTAGGTTAGTTGACTTAATAGGGTCGATGATATTAGTGTTGCTTTACCAGCTAAGTTCAAGCACTTTGTTTTCCATCCTGAGAGTTTTACTCGCATGCTATCAATGATGTGTTGATAATCTTTGTAAGTAGGATTACCATTGATTATTGGGAACTCAAGATATCTTCTAATGGATTTATTACTTTTGATGCCTAGGTAAGAGGAGATATCAGTAGTAGTGGAGGTGTTACAGTTCTTTGAGCAGATGATTCTAGATTTTTTGTAATTGATTGTTTGTCTAGAGATTTCACATAAATAGTCAAGTCCATAGCGAATTGTGGAGCATGTTTTACTATTCGCTTTCCCCATTAAAACTAGGTCGTATGTGAAAAATAAGTGTGACAAGGGAGGACATTTATAATTTAAACTAATGGGGTCCCATTTCTTAATGTCACTTGATAGTTTATGTACCTAGATAGCATCTCCATATATAACATGAAAATGTACGGAGACATAGGGTCTCCTTGCCTAATACCCTTACTTGGATAGGAGAAGTTTGTTTGGCTCCGTTTACCAGAATTGCCGTAGAGGAAATAGTCATACATGACATAATTAATTTCGAAAATTTGGTAGAAAATTTAAAGTAAAGAAGACCGGTATGGCTTGTCCGGTATGACTTGACAGTGGTATAAGGATTTTCTTATATGTGGTCCGCTTACTGTGCTATTTCAATGCTTCTGGGTAGAAAATGTCGAAGGAACAAAGAGGACGAAGGTTCTTCAGAGCATATTCGTAGTATATGACTCCGAACGAAAATGATAGAGCTCTTGACTATTCATATTTACGGCTCATTCATAATCAAGGTTGTAACCTCCTAATCAATGAGTGGAATTCTCTGCTCCCTTCGGAAAAACTCCATTGCTTTGACCATCCTCAATGACTTGAGGATGCTTCTAGCCTTCAAAGAAGAGTAATTGACCAGAGAAAGGACAAATCAATGAGACTAAAATTATTGACACCCGGAAAGCAAGCACTTGAATTTTTTTTAACTTTAATTTATTCTGCAAATCGTCAAGTTATTCTATAAGGAATTAAAGTGCCTTTTGTAAAATTATTTTGCTGTATATCATTATTGTAAATACTAGTAAATTTGATATGACTGAAAATTATTTTTATAAAATGATGATGTCCATTGTTAGAGTAGTGAGTGAATAATATTTTTGAAATTGCGTTTTGATAAGGATTTTCATCACTAGATTTTAATAATAATATCTACATATTAAATGCGTAATTATAAAATTAAAATAAAGAATCTTATAGGAAAAAAATGACTTCCAGAATAAAGCTATTTTTCTCTTTTGATGAAAAAATTCCTCGATGGTCCCCTTCGGCTAGTTCTTTCACAGTTTAAGGTAATTAAATACCAAATAATGACTTTTTCTAGAAAAAATTTCCCCATATATATATATACACACAACATATTCAATTGACTTCTAAGTGGTCTTGAGTTGCAATCACTTAGAATTCAATAAGCAGTGGAAAAAATCCTAATCCATCACAAGTTTAGTTAAATACCTACAATAAAAAGGAAGAAAAACAGGCAGTCCACTCAATCAGTTCAAGTAGCACCATAGAAAAATGGATGAAAGACAATAAGATCGTGCCAATCGCGGCGTTAAGTCCTTTACTGCCAAACTTCACGTTATAACTAGACAAACTTTCACATTCCGTTATAACGGGAAACTCGGCTTCTTTCGTCAAACAACGCGGGCTATTAAAGGGTATTTTGGTATATGAGATAAAAATAATAATTTTGAGATAAAATTTGGTATTAATATTATCTTATATTTAGTTTGTGGTATTAGCTAATTTCGGGATAATTTTTACATTAAGGGTCGTTTGATATATGGGATAAAGATAATAATCTCAGGATGAAATTTGGGATTAGCTTTATCCCATGTTTGGTTGGCATAAAATTACGGTATAACTAATCCCGAGATTAGTTATCCCAGAATAATAGTATTTTTTTAATCTTATGTGAGGGTGAAATAACTAATTCTGAGATAATTAATTCAGAAATAACTTGTTTCCAACCAAACTATCCCTAAAATGGTGGGATTAGTTATCCCACATAAAAATAAGATAATTAATCTCAGTGGAATATTTTACTCCATGAGATATCCCACCATTGTACCAAATGACCCCTACGAGGGACAATGAATAATTAATCTCAAAATTAAATTTTAGATAAAAATCGTGGTATAACTAATTCTGAGATTAGTTATTCCGGAATTGTAATATTTTTCTATCTTCGTGAAAAGGTAAAATAACTAATTACGAAATAATTAATCATGAGATAACTTATTTCTACTACCAAACATCCTCTAAAATAATGTAATTAGTTATCTAATTAATCCCATAGAATATCCCGATATCATTCATCGTAGCAAACGACCTCTAAATGGGTAAATAATTATAGGTATCTTTTCAGGAAATAGTCTAATAATGTTATAAAAGTACAACTCATCGTAATTATTGTGACCTGAGTTCATTTTCACAAACAATACCAAATAAAAAATCACACCTAAGCATTTAACTCGCGAATAAAGTTTATTCAAATTTATTCACTCACTTAGACTTATTTGATTAAAGTTGTCAAAAACGAGTCTCATATTTCACATAAAATATTTCTCAAGCTGCAGTATTATATTTTACCAATATTTCCGATACGTCCGTATTTGCCGAATTCCAAACACTAATTTTTCCATTTATTTTTTAATGTTTATTATTATTCCACTGGAAACAGACATAGGTATCATCGTTTCCACGCAATTCATCATTCAACGCCTTCTTCAAATACAGCCATTTTGCTAACGTCTTCTCCTCTTATCAAACAAACACTCCCCTCAAACCAATAAGTGCGTACATAAATTCGAATCTGCTCCGCCTCTCTCCTTTTCCTTTTCTCGATTTTCTCTTATATATATATTTATTTAAGTATTTGTGTGTGATTGCATTGTGGATCAGCGATTGATCAAAAACAGTATTTGAATTTTGTTGTGAACAGAAGGCTGAATAAGAATGGGGAGTTTGAGGGCGATTTTGAAGAATCCAGATGATTTGTATCCATTGGTAAAGCTGAAGCTAGCGGCTCGACACGCGGAGAAGCAGATCCCGCCGTCTCCACATTGGGGCTTCTGTTACTCAATGCTTCATAAGGTTTCTCGTAGCTTTGCCCTCGTCATTCAACAACTTCCCGTCGAGCTTCGTGACGCCGTATGTTTCTCTCTCTTTTTTCCCCTTTTTCCCCTTCTTTTTCTGTGGCATTTAATCGCTATCGCTTGCTATTTGGATGCATTTAAAGTGTGTGGCTAACCTCTGTGTGTGCGTGTGTTTATATACATGAAAATTGGATTTTTGTTTAGTTTTTTTTTTTTTTTTTTGATTTACTGCTTCTGTGAATTAATTGGAATTGTTAATATACCATATATATTCCGTTAATTTGTTTTAATTTTCTGGATTCGCATATTACTATAACTGATATTTTGATTTTTGAAGGTTATTATTCTTACTTTTAACTTTAATGGAACTTTGCAGGTGTGCATTTTCTATTTGGTTCTTCGAGCACTTGACACTGTTGGTAAGCTCAGTTTACTGTCTATCTAAATTTTGTTTAGTAATTATAAGGAGATATGAACCTTAGAAAACAGATGATTGTTCGTAGCATTAGTTAACATGATAAACTAGCATTTAAGTATAGTCATAGAATATTAAAAGTTGGATCTTGTGCGTGCAAAATTTGGTGTGAGTAATATAGCACTTTAGTCTTTTGTTATTTAAAAAAGTAGGTTGAATCGTGGACTCGATTCGTCATGCTCATCTTCTATTGCTTCTTGCTATGGAAGAAAGAAGAGGATAGAGGGTAAAATTATTTAGTGAAAACATCAACGGCTCATTAATTAAAAAAATAAATAAATAAGAGCAAGTTATTCTACATTTCTACCCATGCTAATTATGTTGCTAGTTGATATTTAGTTTAGATAATTCTGAGCTGCCTACCAGCTTTCTGTGGAACTCTTCTTGGTTATAAACGAGCTTTGACTAACTTTTATTGCTGAAATACTAGTATGAGTTATCATATGTCGTTTTCTATTTCTTTCTAGACATTCATAAGGTAGTTTTTACCTTGTAATATTAGTTGATTCACGGGTTGCTGCAGTCATATTTTTGAGTGACACTTATTTTGCTCGTTTTCATATTTGGATGTTCTTATTCTGGACAGAGGATGATACCAGCATTCCCACCGATGTTAAAGTACCTATTCTGATCTCTTTTCATCAGCATGTTTATGATCGCGAATGGCATTTTTCATGTAAGTCTCTGAGTTCAACTTGTCGATATCCCTAAATTCTCAATATCCCTTCTCTCTTATAATGATTGTGCTTTTGCAATTGAAGAATCCCAAATTGGAAAGACTTCAACTACTTTTGGAAGGTTACTATGAAACTTTTTTTTCATAAGTTGGATAAAAACTGATGCGAAATGTTTCACTGTCTACCCAAAAATGTTTCTCTTTTGGCTCTGCAGTCAAACTACTACTAGAGGCTGCACATATGCAGAAAGTTGCCCATGATCCAAGATACGGACCATATTTGATAGTTGAAAGCACATAATGCATCAGAATAGTGCTGACTGAGGTCATATAGGAAACGGGACAAGAAGGGAAATTAACTTTGGCATCCTTGCTTTTGTTTGATTACTTGCTGAATACTCCGCCACTGATAGTTGCCTAACGGAAAAAATCAAGAGCCCATTATAACCTCGTCTTTTACTGTTATTGTAATCAGTGTGAGAGAGGTTAGCTAATTGTTAAGCTCATAGCGAATACACATCTATATTACCTCCAGCCATGGTGTTTAACCTCTTCCTGCACCTATCCCATTTCTCAAAAACACCTTCAATCATCTACTGACAATACATTCCACTGTATCTTGAAGACCACATAAACCAATGCCCACTCCTGTGATGCATATTGGCAATGAAGTGGCATGTGTTTGATGCCCTCCCCTGTCTTATTGCACATACTGCAGCAGCTGACCATAATGTACTTCCTTCTTCTCAGGTTGGCTAAATTGGGCCCCACGCCACACTTTGTGTAGAAGGCCATAGTTTCCTCTTGAATTTCCTAATTAGTACCACGCAGAGGCACTGCTGGCATTAGACATTCAATACCAAACAAGTCTTAATACTTGAAACCCTGTTACCTCATAGAGAAAAATCCATACTTTAGGTTAAAAAAAAAAAAGAACTTGAGACCCTATCATTACTAGCTCATCTGTATGCCGGTGGTAGCATTCTAGTGATTACATTGCTAGCTATACTCCTGCCTGCTCATGTATGAACATGAAGGAGGATCCTTCCCACTCGAAGGGCTGGGCAACACTAAAATATTGACCTGAATAAGACAATGTATACTAGTTCTAGGCATTTCGGTGGGTCCTGTAGTCCAACTTTTCACTTGCTCTGGGTAAATAACTTATCTTGATTTTATTTCTTTCAATGTATAAATAGTTGGACGACAGATAGGAGAATTGAGCTTCGAAAACTATGTTCTAACCCTGGAATGATTTCTGCATTACTATTGGTTGCAATGGACTCTTTTGTTAATTTGCTACTCAAAATGTCATGACATGTTGGCCAAAGAGGTCAACCTGACTCAATGATTGGATGCTAAGGGGAAGGGAGCAAGTCAGAACTTAGAAATCTTCTGAAATTCGTCATACTTCTTTTTACTGCAGTTTCTTACCCTAAATAAGGCTTTTCTTTTTCTTCTTTGTGTCTTGCTCCCACGGTGGCTCGGTGCCATGCGGGTTGCCCTCCCTACAAATACATTCTGTATATCTGCTAACGGACAATAGGAATAGACTTGTTATAGAACTACTAATATTATTATTACTGTCATTTATATATATTTAACTTGTTTTTTATTCGGTATGACGATGACATGAGTTGAACTTAATGGAGAAGTGAGGATTCATATGGCCGGTCCAAACTTGTTTGGGACTGAGGCGTAGTTATTGCTGTTTTATTATAGACTGATTTCCTAATCCGAATTTTAACATGTTAGGTGGTACAAAGGAGTACAGGGTTCTCATGGACCAGTTGCATCATGTTTCAACTGCTTTTCTGGAGCTTGGGAAACAGTGAGTTCTTACCCAGCTTGTGTGCTTTTCTGATACCAAGATTTTGCTCAAATGAGAGGTTACAATCAGCATATTTGTTGAATATGATGTAGCAGTAGGTCCTCCAGAATTTAAATTCTGTTGCAAGGTTTGGAGAAATCCAAATTCAACTGTAGATCCACGTGATATATATCCCTAATGTGAATTCAGAAATGTTTACTTATGAGCGGTGCAGCTTTCTCTGCCTTCTTCAACCCTAAAAAATCAGAAAAAAAGAAATGCTACTTATACGACAAAAAATGTGAACTCGGGTTGTAGTCTGAATTTCAAAACGTATAAACTCCGGGTCCCATTGTATGAGTAGGCAATACTGAAGATTATGTTCTTATATTTTGCAGTTATCAGCAGGCAATTGAGGATATTACCATGAGGATGGGTGCAGGAATGGCAAAATTCATTTGCAAGGAGGTATGCAAGATGAACCATAAAGAACAGGATGAAATTATCTGATACTCGCAAAAAGCAGTTTATACTTGTTTGAATTTTTTGTTTGTATGAATTGGCTTGATCTCTCAAGTTTTCCCTTTTTATGCAATTCCTCATCTTCAAGCCATTGGATTATTCCACCTACTCAAAAGTATAAACCATGGTCTCTGCTTCACTACATCGTGATTGATGTGGGTCATTACTACTATTTCTGCTATTTGATCGTTGGTATCTTTTTCACCTTTATTTTGTTGAACATGTTTTGCACCAGTGTTGTTAGCCCGTACGGATATTGTCGTCTTTGTCGAATTATCATCTCTGTCTTTGTTTGTTAAGTAAAACAAGGCTATTAACACTATAGAAGACAAGTACATGGAATTTGATTAATGAGCGTTAAAATCTTGTTAGGTTTTTGAAAGGTAACTTTAACCTTTTGAGTGCGCCCGATGTGTAGCTACTTTACGATTTAATAGTTTTTTGCTGCAAGCTTCATTTCTAGAACACTCCTGAAACCTCCATGTATTTCAATTTCAACAAATCCACCTCTGCAGGTGGAGACAACCGATGATTATGATGAATATTGTCACTATGTAGCTGGGCTTGTTGGGCTAGGATTGTCAAAACTGTTCCATACCTCTGGGAAAGAAGATCTGGCTTCAGATTCTATCTCTAACTCCATGGGTTTATTTCTTCAGGTTTAAACCTTTACATGTGTGGCAGGCACAACTGTCCATCTTTGAGATTCTTCTTTGTTGAGGGCAGTAATACTAACATATTTGCTATATATTGCAGAAAACAAACATCATTAGAGATTATTTGGAAGACATAAATGAAGTACCCAAGTGCCGTATGTTCTGGCCCCGTGAGATATGGAGTAAATATGTTAATAAGCTTGAGGTTTGAATTCTTCATCTCCTTGGTCTTGTATGAGTTTCTCAACTCGTTTTTTCCCTGCCATCATAGTTATTGTATTAACTTGAGTGGACTGTAGCAAGTGCTGTTGTTTAGTCAAAGCTCAGAGATGGGTTTCATTCATAGTTTAATTGACATCTCTGTTTATTTCCCGCAGGAATTAAAGTACGAGGATAACTCGGCGAAGGCAGTGCAATGTCTCAATGACATGGTCACTAATGCTTTATCACATGTAGAAGATTGTTTGACTTACATGTCTGCTTTGCGTGATCCTTCCATCTTTCGATTCTGTGCTATTCCACAGGTATATCCTCTAGGTTATTTTCTAAGCTCTCTAGCCTTCAATTTACCTATCAGGCTAAACGCTTCCTACATGAAGACATTTCTTCTGTCACACTTCCATTTATTCAATTTTTCACAAAGTGTTTCTTATGATGGAATTTTATGTTCTCTGTTTGGGAAAGTGTCGATAAAGATCGAAATAGAAAATGTATCGAATTTGCTGAAGCAAACTCTATGTCAAATCATTTAATTTCAATTTAGTTATAGATCAAGGACCTTCATATTGTCTTATTGCCATGATTTCTATTCATGCTTGTTTAATTGACCATAGAGTTAAGCGTGGTGAATGAATAACAGTACCATAGAGTTAAGCGTGGTGAATGAATAATAGTCTACAATTCTTTAAACATGGACTTGTACGCTGGGGAAGGAAGAAATTTGCACCAGTAACTTGTTAAGCATACTTCTTTACCATGCTTTTGCCTTGTTGTATTATCTAATGGTACCAGGTCATGGCAATTGGGACATTAGCTATGTGCTACGACAACATTGAAGTCTTCAGAGGAGTGGTAAAAATGAGACGTGGTAAGAACTATGATTCTCAGCATGCATTTCTTGTGACTTCATATCCAATTGCAATCTGACCCCTTAAAATTCCGCCATTTTTTTTATGAATCACATCTTTTGTCAATAGGACTTGTTATTATGATGGGGTAGAGAAAGATTTTGTGTACTTGCGAAATAGCCTCTCATCCCTTGTTTATTTTTGGTGCACCCATGAAGTTTTTATGTATATAGAAGGTCGGATGTTGTTTGTAGAAAACCACATCGTTTTGTAAGGTTTTCCATTTTTTGGCATACTTCTTGTATACGGGTGTTTTTTGCCCTTCATTAATAAAATCTTATTATCTTATAAAAAAAGGACTTATTATTATCATGTAATGGAGTGGTTTTTATCGTTAACGCTGTCTTATTATGTATTCTACCTTTCTTGTCTGTGTCATTTCTTTGAGAACTCTCTCCACAGCATGTATTATTCATGCATCTGTATTTTCTACTTCATTTGCTGATGGAACTTATTTAAAGTAGATATTGTGTTCTTTGAGTATTATTCTAGCAGTTTTTAAGCATCACATTATATCCTTGTCTTCTTAATTTTTCTATCTTACCTATCACTATTATTATCTTTTGGTTTCTTCGATCTAGGTCTGACTGCTAAGGTCATTGACCGGACCAGGACTATGGCAGATGTATATGGTGCTTTTTTTGACTTTTCTTGTATGCTGAAATCCAAGGTATGGAACTTATTTATTCCCAATCATGCCTAATTGCCCAGTTATAATGTGCTCGTGTTGAAGTTGCTGGGTCAAATTGAGGATTACCCCGTCCTTTTGTTTAACGTTAACAAGGCATGTGTTGTCTTGGAATAAGTATATGCACACTATTGTGGCTCATTAGGTCAATATGGACCTTGCATTACGGTACGAGAAACCTTGTGCATACAAATTGTGATGGAGTTTCTGAATCATGCTCCTACTACAGATGCCTGTCGCTCTGTAGAGTTAAGAGTTTTTCTTCGAAATACTGAATAATTGTTTGCAAAATAGTTATTCCAGGAGTCTCTGTCTCACACATATGTACAAAGGTGTAGTACAAAAATAGAACAAAGTAGTACACCTCTACGCGTAACATGTTCCTATTACAATATTGATACCTCTTAGCCTTTGAATTGATACATCTAACGATTATTTGAACCGGTGATACATAATTTGGCGAAGCTTTTGCTTAATGGCTACTAATATGGGTTATTCACTCTATCTGCTATCTGTTTCTTTTTGTTCCTTTTTTATGTCTAAATTTCCTTTCTTGATGAAAATTGAAAAGACATGCCACCAAAGCTACTCTTTTATTGTTTTAGGTTAATAATAATGATCCAAATGCAACAAAAACTCTGAAGAGGCTTGACGTGATCCTGAAAACTTGCAGAGATTCGGGAACCTTGAACAAAAGGTTTGTACATATCCTAGTTGTTCTCATCTTCACATTGCTGTGAGTATCAACTAATGCATGTACATATCACCAGGAAATCATACATAATCAGGAGCGAGCCTAATTACAGTCCAGTTCTGGTAAGTGTATACAGCTGACTGTTTCACGCTTCACATACAATTTGCCTTTCTACATTGAATATTTTCTCATCTCTGAAATTTATTGCAGATTGTCGTCATTTTCATCATACTGGCTATTATTCTTGCACAGCTATCTGGAAACCGATCTTAGACGATATGTAAGTATCATAATGACAATATACTTGAGTAGCATGCCATTTATGTAGATGCATGTCGCATGGTTCAAAAATATACCCTCTATGCACCTAAACTTTCGACTTTCTATTGATAAGCACGTGGATCTTGTAGGAAGTATTTTTTTCCTAGCCTTCAAACAATAAGCAGTGTAATTTTTCAAATTATGATATTTCTCTCTCCCTCTCTCTCTTTCGCCCCCTCTCCCTCTCTCTCTCTCTCTCTCTCTCTCTGTTTCCCGCCATGTCAGACTGTATTGTAATTATTATTTTTTGAATGAATATGAACACATCCTCCTCACTTCCCAAAAAACACAAATTTTTCCTCCTCATCTTGAATGTGATTTACAAGTGATTGTCTTTAGATTGTCATTCCTGTGTCATCACATATTTCCAATTCTAAGTGAAAAGTTTCCCTTAACAAATCATTTTGGACTTCGATAGAATTGTAAGGTCATATTTCCCCACTGTTTAATACTATGTCAAGAACAACAATGACAACAAAAATGCTCAGTTCCAAGTTGTATGAATCCTCACTGTCCATTTAACTCCGTTTGGACCCATTACATTCCCAACGAAATTCCTTATTGATTAGTTTCACGCTAGCTGTCAACTTACCGCAACTATCCTCTTTTCGAGCTTGGAATTGACAATATGAACAGGTTCACGAAGGAGGAGTTGCACTGTCAATATGTCGAAACAATAAAGTTGGAAGATCATATTAAATTAAACTCGTACTTACTTCAACAGTGTCATTAATGATGATTTAATAGTTTCGTTTCCTAGATTTAAAGATAGTGCATTCTGTGTTCAAACGATGGCATCACTTTGTAATCTTAGGATAACTGTGTTGAGAATCTGCAAAGATACATGGAAATTGTAGCCTTTTCAGCTTCTTCATGGAAATCATTAACCCAGTTTCTGCTCTGTCTTGCTTTGCAGTTTGGGTTACAAAAAAGAAGTCTGGTCAAGGAAGACAGCACAAGCTCTTGGCCAATTATGTGATTAGTGCAGATTTTGATGTTTGTAATTCTATGTTCATTAAGTGATAGTTGCACCTTTTAACCTGACAAGGTAATTACGAAAACCTATTTTTGGTGGCTTGTTGGGTATGTACTTGTTTGCAAGCTACGAAAGCAAATTCCAAGTGTTGTAGAGTCACCGTGATGTAATAAACATGTCTTTTATAATATTTTGTTCATTTTTGTGGTAAATTGATGTTTATATAGCAGCCGTTGAATTAAAATTCCATATTTCAGAAAGTGAAATGCCTTGCTCATCTATTTGAAGGGTGGCTAGTCTCTAAATGTAAAGCAAAGACAACCTCGGAAATGAATTTTCACTCGCTTTCTCTAAGTGAGTACAATATTACTTGAGAGCGCATAAGCTTTACATATTTTATCGTTTTGTTCATAATACACGCGAATAAAAATATTTTTACTTGTGGCGTAACATAAATATGAAGAGAACATTTCAGATTTTTATTACATCAGGACCGCTCCTGGAACATTCATATTATCAATTCAGTGGAGGGGCTATGTATGTAGGTAAAATTGAATGAAAGGGGTCCAATTGAATTCCCTTTGCTGGAAACTTGTACCTCGTATATAGGTAAAAACCTAAAAAAAAATATAGGGAAGAAAAAATATTTGTGTATATATAACTTGTTGAATTTCCCTTGTACAAATAATATTTTTAGTACAGCATCTTTTTTGACTCCCTTATTAGAATTCTGGCTCTGCCGCTAGTTATCATCTGCCCATGACAATTTTCACGTACTACTCGGAAGTGAATTGAATATGGTAGGTTCCGCAGCAATTTTCAAATTCGTCAGAAGGTTCTCGCTGTTCTTTACAGTCTTTTCCTGCCCATCATTCCTTTTTACAGTCTTTTTCTAAGTAAGAGTTGTTGATTATGGTTTCCAGTAGACTTATAAATTAAAGCCGTCGCACATATTTTGGTGTATACCAACCTGGCTACATTCAAGAGGACCAAAGCCTTTTCATATGTTCTTTTTAATTGTGGTATTCGCTTTATTTGAGCGCAGAAAGCCTCCTAGCAGCCACTCTTTTTAGTTAGAAATGTTTTGATACAGAATTCTACAATTTTTTTCAAAATGTTACTATCCCGTATCTGCTAAAGGCAAAATATATTATTTGCTCACATTCTCTGAGACCCAAAAAGGGAAAACAAGTTATAAAAATGTACTAGGATAGCCATTTCTACAAAATTAATCACAACAAATTGCAACATACAACAATAACCTCCAAGTCTTTAAAGGGGGGAAATATCTAAAAATATACCCACGAATGGAAAACAAGTAAAAAAGAAAATTCAAAAAAAAGGAATCTTTTTTTATGGCCAAACGAGCTCGAAACCCCCATTTGGACATAAATCTTTTTAAATTTGTTTTAAAAAAAGTTAAAAATATTATTTGTTAATGGAATTTGATCAATTTAAAAATATGAAGAAAAAAATTCAAGTTTCAAAAACTAATTTGATCTAGTTTTTGGATGAAAAACTTTTATTTCACTCATAAAACTTCAAAAAATTATTTTCAAACACAACTTCAAAAAATAATTCGCTCAAATTTCAACCAAATCTATGTCCAAACGCTAACCAAATGTTGAATATTCTTATCAAATGGCTTCGCTATGGTTCCACCGTCGCTCTTTTGAGTCTTATTTTTTTGCATAAGTTGACTTTGCGAGTGATTACTTTTTAAGACTCTTTACTGTTTGAATAATCTGAATAATTGCTTACTCAACCGCTTAAACTAAAAAGAACTTGCACATATATATATATATAAATATATATATATATATATATATATATATATAATCTAATGTCTAATATATGTGTAATTAATATATAATTTATGTATAATAATTTAAAAAAAAATAATAAATTCGACTAGCTATTTGTTTAAAAAATCATTTTTTTTTTCTTTCGAGACTCTTTATGCTAGTTGAAGTCAACATTTTCCTCATATAGATGCACAGCCATATTACACTAGCTAGACCTTCTAGTACTATTTCGAGAACGACTGCATAGTGGAAGTGGAAGGCCAGCCAAACAATAAAAAGATTTAAAAAAAAAAGGGAAGAAAAACTCTTGTACATATTTTCCGTTTCTTGTCATTTGATTCCTGATTATCCCTAACTTAGATGAGTACGATGTTAACATCAGCCTAAAATCATTTTTCTTTCTCCCAATACAGAATATTTCGAAGTTCAACTATCATTTGGAATTTCATTGTTTCGAATTTCGCACACAAGTACCTGACTCTTTTGAAAATTTTCAAAAAAAACAAATTCATTAAAGTTACAAATTTAACAAAATCAATGAGAACTGATGAGACGGGAGTACCCACTTGTGAATCTTAATTATATTTTGGGGCGGAGCTATGGAGCACAAGGGATATCTAGAAAATTACATCATATATATATATAAGGTTAAAATATAACAAAAGTGTTTTTTGTGTTTTTAACTATTTCTTTATATCTTATTTTAAATGAAAACTCTCGGTCCGTTAGGATCTTCTATAGCGCGCAATTGTATATTATTGATTTTTCTGTTACATATTCAGATAAGGATAGATCCTCACCCCACCACTCAATATATTTTTTATATGCGTATCTACTGAGAATAGTATATTGGAAACTTGGCCAGTTGTTATTCATCTAATTGTGGAGAAGTGACTAGTCAAACAATGTTTGGTGATAATTTGGTACAATTGATGTCAAAAATGGTAGATTTACGATGAACAAATCAACATAGTTGGTCTACAGCAGGCTGGTGCTATGATAAGAAATAATCAGAAATATAAATAGATATCACTCTTTATGCAGAAAATGATTTTTTTATAAAAAAAAGTCAGTACGTAAAAGAACACTATCAGCTCACGTGATTTGTGGCTCGATAAGTATCTGTGGACTGTGATCAATCATATACTCTGACTAATGCGATCTTCATTTGTAGTTTTTATTTTTTAATATATTTTAACAATTAATTTCTAAATTAAAAATAAAATGTGGTTAATTTTACCATGTGAGTTAAAATTTATTGCAAAAATAGAAAATAAAAAAACAAGTTGATTTCAAATTTTATCTTGGTCTTGAAGGATAATAAATTAAAATAATTTCTATAAACTGAAGTTCGTTCGATTTTGCAAAGTGTTAAAGTAACTCTATATAATTGATGGTAAAAATGCTGCAACCTGAACTAGCAATTTTCATAAAGTGTTGGAGTATAGGATTATGCCAAATACAAGTATTTAATAAAAGTTTCAAAATTTAAAAGTATTTTACAAAGTTTGATAGGTGAAAAGTATTTTTACAAAGAAAAAGAAGGAAAAGATAACAAATATTACATGGCTGACATTTAATTGGCGGGGAAAAGACGTAACATGCAGGCTCGACTTTGTCGTTTCCTAGTTTGAGGTAGACTTTTGACTAGCAATTATAATTACTCCATATAATATTTAAAAATAATTAAATTTCAATTTTATTAAATGCAAAACGGAAAAAGAAAAGAAGAATATGGGCGATGATAATTGAGCTGGAGAATTTTTTAATTTTTTTGTGATAGTAATAAAAATTTTCGTTAACTACAAAAATTTTGAAATACGCTGAAATTTCAAGAATAGACTCATTTAAAACGAGAAGAAACGAGCGTGGATATTGTCCTCACAAATTGGTAGTCTAATGCGGTCCTTGTTGTTTACTATCGTTTGACTAACGACACTTATCATGCTTTTCTTAATGTAGTAACAATATATAAGAAGGAGAAAATCAGAAATTATTATGGCTTGATTGTTTATTCGGAAAATGTCCAAATATATCACTGTACTTTCGAAAATAGTCTCATAATACACTTGTTATACTATTGGGTTATCTATACTCCTGCAATCATACTTTGGGTTCAAATATACCCCTTATTTAAACGGAGGGACATGTGTCATAGTCCTGTTGGCCAATTCTAAATATCTCATAATTAATTAAAAAAAAACTATTATTTGGTACCCGAAAAGCAATTTTCTAAAGCAATTTTTTTTTTTGTAAAAACTGAAAAAAACTGAAATTTTATACTGAAAACTGAAAAAACGGAAGTATTTTTTTTCCAGTTTTTACAAAAAAACTGCTTTAAAAAACTGAAAAATATTTTCTAAAATAATATTTTTGTAAAAACTGAAAAGTAATTTTCTAAAGCAATTAAAAACTGAAAAAAAACTGAAATATTTTTAACTAAAAACTGAAAATATATATATATATATATATATATTTTCAGTTTTAACAAAAACATTGTTTTTCAGTTGTTTTTTAATTTTTACAAAAAAAATTGCTTTAGAAATTATTTTTAAATTTTTTTAAAGAAATATTTTTCTAAAAACTGGAAAAAAATATTTTCAATTTTTTTAATTTTTAGTAAAAAAATATTCAGTTTTTTTCAGTTTTAAATTGCTTTAGAAAATTATTTTTCATTTTTTTAAAGTAGTTTTTTTGTAAAAACTGGAAAAAAAAAATATTTTCATTTTTTCAGTTTTTAGTAAAAATAATTTCAGTTTTTTTTTTCCAGTTTTTACAAAAAAAAAAATTACTTTAGAAAATTGCTTTTCGGGTCCCAAATAATGGGTCTTTTTAATTCATTAAGAGATATTTAGAATTGACCAACAGGACAATGACACGTGTTCCTCCGTTTAAATGAGGGGTATATTTGAACCCAAAGTATGACTACAGGGGTATAAATAACCCAATAGTATAACGAGAGGTATTCTTAGACCATTTTTGAAAGTACAAGAGTATATTTGGATCTTTGCCGTTGTATATTTTGTAGCATTTTCATGCTACGGATGTAGTATGTTAGTATTTGGTTCCATTAAACCCCTAACTTTCGATACATAGTAAAAATTCATTAAAATTGTAAAATAGTATATATGAACCCAAAACTTTAAATATATAATGAGTTCAATGCTAAGTTAAACCCATTAACATTAAGTATAATCCTGAATCTGTCTCTGTTTTCATGTACATTGAAAATTGTTATAATACGATAATATGTATAGCTACAAGGTGTTTCAAAAGACAATTTACAATAATAAATGGAGTCTCTGCTAGGTATAAAGCTAATGTCATATGCCGAAAACCTAATTGGGATAATGCATTAATGCTTAGTTGTTTTTGTTACAAACTTACAATTTATTACAATGTGTAACAGGATAGTTT